TATATATAAAAGGAATAGCTCATGCTCTAAAAAAAATCCCCTGTGCTTCATGTATTAAGGCTTACTGAGGTGTAACACTTGGACAGGAGAGAAAGCAAGATTGGGCAGGAGAGCCTTCAGACTGTAGTTCTGACTAAGTCTCTGCCAGGCCAATGAAGAGCTCCAAAGCAAACATTATCCACTAAGAGGAGTGCCCTGTTGGGCAGAAATGGCCAGGTCTTTATGCCACCACTTTGCTCAGCCTTTGGCTGGGGACTCCCAGAGAAGATTGAAAAGCTGAGGCGGACCCTGAAGGCACTAACAGCTGGAGGTTATCAGTTAACCACATTCCTTGAAGCTGGGTTGCTAAGTCCTTTCTTGGAAAGGGATCTGAGTGCTGCAATTCTTCGCCTGCCAAAAATATCTCTGAATATTGCAAGCAGAGGTTGGCTGACCATTGGTCACAATTCTCAATCAGAGGAATTCTGAATCAGTTGGGATTTGGAATCAGATGATCCCGTTGGCCGCTTTTAGCTCTTCGGCCCTATGACTGTCCTCAGTATGCTTTGACCAGGCAATCCAGGTATTATGTTTCTCACATTCATTCCACTTTGCTCAAGCCTCTGTTTCCCTTCTTGCAATGACCATCTCATGCCCTGTTCAGTCCTTGTGGTAGGATCAGTCCCTTCCTCCCAGGGACTATTCATGGAGGGGCAGAGGACCCAAATGATGGAGTCTATAGCTTCCACTTATGCCGCCCACACCTTTTGGATCCCAGATGCTCAAAAAAATGGTTATAGTATCAATAGCCATGTGGATCACGGAGTTGAATACAGATAAAAAATAACTTGTGAGCCCAGGAAGAAAGTTGAAAAATTCAAAACTAAGGCTACCCAAAGCAAATCCTGGTCTGATACCACCCCTCCCTGGAGCACGGAAAAAGGTCGACAGGAGCACTCCCTGCTGATCAGTGCACATACTACATCTGGTAAGGTGTCATATTTTTATTTTCTTCCATCCTAACTCCCATGGGTAGCCCTGGATTTTCACCTGCAGGTTCAGAATCATTGCAGTGCAATTCTGGTCTTTCTCTGTTGGAATGTGGAAGACTTTGAGACTGCCTGAGGAAAGGGTGGCTCTGAGGTTTGGTTCCACCTGCTCTTAATCTTTGTATTTATCTTGCTTATGGTGAAAAGCCTGTTTTATTCTTGTAACTTGGCAGCTCTGGCTGGCTCACAAATGTCCTAAGGTAAATAATTAAGGTCCCGACATGCCCTCTAAGGACAGTCTTATCTTCTAAGCCAAAAAACATTTTATATTTACTTTGTCTGTCTTTAGAGATTTCCTTTGAATGTTTGCTTCTGCTTTGCAACATTCTTAGGCTCCACACAGCCTGCTGATTTGCCCAGCCAGAAAACAATAGTGTTTTGTTTTGTTTTTATATTTATGCTGCTATTTTGATTCAATGAACCATCATACTGATTTTTTAATTCCAAATTTAATGCTCGCAAGTTTGAGCACTTCCTTGAACCCAGCCCTCAGGACTCTTGCCAACTTTCTGTTTTTTCTACCTGCTTTTTCATTTCTTGGTGCAATGACTAACGTTGGAGCCTGCTGGGTCAGAGAGTAGAAATACAATATACTCTCCCTATTCTCCAACCCTCAGCACCAGGCAGTGGGTTGGAATCCATGTTTAAGCACCAAAGGTTGGGGCGCCTGGCTGGTTCTGTCGGTAGAGCATGCAACTCTTGACCTCAGGGTTGTGAGCTTGAGCCCCATGTTAGATGTAGAGATTACTTAAAAATAAATACCCAAAGGTTGCTCCAGGTCTCCACCCCTGAGTTAGATGAGACCCAAAAAAGTACCAAGAGTTAATGTTCCAAGAAGACACTTGAGGTTACTGAGGATGTTTGAATTATAGGCAGGTTCTGTCTCTGAAGACAAGGCTAGGGCACAAAAAATATCCTGCTTTAAAAACAAAATCAATAGAAATCAATCAATCAATCAATCAGCAGAAAGCACACAAAAGATATAGTCCCAGAACCATTATGTAGGAATAGAAATGACAAGTAAATGAAATAAAAAACCAAAGAAGTTTTGTTGTTGTTGTTTTAAATGCTTTCATTGCTCTCCTGGAGAATACAGACTGAAATTGTGGACTTGGCAGCCGTTCCCACAGTAGGAGGGCAGAATCACAGGTCTGAAGCACAAGCTTTCTTCTGGAAACTGCCCACTTATTATGGATGACGGTTGTATCACCTTAAATGAGGGGAACAAAGACTGTGTGTGTGGGTGTGTGTGTGCGCGCCAGAAGTCAGCTTCACTAGCACAAAGTGTAAGACAACAGTCATACACAGAGTGGTGGAACCGTAGAGGAATTTCTGAGAATTAGCCTTAGGCAGAAGGCGTTTGGCTGGAAACTTGCACTGAAAACCTACCTTGTAAATAAGCATGTGACTTTCACCTGACTTAATTTTTTTCAGTCCTAAGGGCTCCAGTCAGAGCAAAGGTCCTGGTCTGGGTTGCTGGCATGTTCACTCTTCAGGGTAAACTGAGAATAAATTCAAAGACAAATCACCAAAGGTAATTTCTTTCTTTGACACTGAGTATAACTGGGATGGTTTTTAAAGTAAAATGTTCGTATTTTCTAATCAAAGTAATAGATATGTAATCTTTGTATTTGGATTAAGTGTGAATGAAGGAAGTAAGAAGGGAGGAAAGAACAGAGGGCTGGGCGGGGTGGGGAAATCTGAGTCCTGGTTGCAGCTTTGGCACTCTGTAACCCTGGGCAAGTCTCAAGTGTGTCAGGGCCTCGGTTCACTCATATTAATAAAAGAAGCTGGAACTAGATGACCTCTTAGGTCCTTTCCAGCTCTTTTCTAGAAATCAGTCTCTTAGTTTTGACTTTTTGTTGAATTTAGGCAGCGCCATGACAATAATGTGAGGCGGAATTAGGGTCAACAGGGTCATTGTGAGGCTGACGGCTGGTCTCAGGCAACTCTCAAGTTCTGCAACACTTTTGCCAAGATGAATTCAGAGTAAGATAGACATCAAGGTAGGTGTCTGGGTGTATCTGCTGAATGAATGAGTGAATGAATGAATGAATGAATGCATAAATGAACGAATCACTCAGGGCAGGACTGAGGGAGAAGAGAATGGAAACATTCAATTGGAGAAAGTTTATTTGGAATAGAGCATAGATTTGCATGGGTGGAATGATGGCTGGGGGTAGATTTTATGGACACATTCAGCAGGAACTATACTTCAGCCCTGAGATGTATTAGGGTTAGGGTTTTTTTTTTTTTTTTAAGATTTTATTTATTTATTTGAGAGAGTGAAAGAGATCAGGGGAGGAGCGAGGGAGGAGTACAAGCAGAAACCGCGCTGAGCGGGGAGCCCTTCTCGGAGCTCGATCTCACAACCCAGAGATCATGACTTGAGATGACACCAAGAATTGGACGCTTAAGCGACTGAGCCACCCAGGCGCCCCTAATTTATACACACTCTTTATCTAAAGAGTAGGTGGGATGATTGCTGGCAGGGTCACTCAGTAATACCATTCTTCTAGTACAGATGGTTCTACTACAAGATAATAGGACGTTTTTTCTCCGTAATTTAATGACCATAATATAATCAGGATTTGCTTTGGCTGAGTTTTTCAGAAATCCAAAATAATAGTGGTTAAGCAATATGTAAGTTTATTTTTTCTTTCACATAAAAGGTCTGTAGGGCAGACTTAGGGGCTCCATGGTGTCATGGATCCAGGCTCCTTCAACCTCAAGAAGTATGGCCGCATGAACTGAGCTATCCCATCTACATTCCAGCCGGCAGGGGAAAGAAAGAGCCAAAAAGGGCTCACCACCTATCTTAGTCTTTTTGGGCTGCTATAACAAAATACCACAGAATGTGTAGCTTATACATGTATTTCTCACAGTTTTGGAGGCTGAAAGTCCAAGATCAGTGTGCCAGCAAGGTGAGGGCTCTCTTCCAGGTTCATAGCCAGTGCTTTCTAGCTATTGTCCTCAAATGGGGGAAGGGGCAAGGAATCTCTCTGGAGCCTCTTTTATAAGGGCACCAATCTCATTCATGAGGGCTCCACCCTCATGATTTAAGCCCTCCCCAAATGTTCCATCTCCTAATACCATCACTCTTGGGGATTATTCAACACATGAATTTGAGGGAGACACAAACATTCAGCCCATAGTACCTCCCATTAATGATACTTCATATAAGTTGAACTTGGCACTTTTATTTTTATCCCATTGACCAAAACTTAGTTACATGGCCAGTCTGGGAAATGTAGCTATTATCCATAATAGCTAAAAGTCAGGATTTTTTTTGTTTGTTTTACTAAGAGAGAAGAGAAAAACAGATATTATGGAATATTAGTCTCTGTCACCTTAAGATATTACAGACTTAGTGCAATTATGCTTCCATTGCTCAATGCCCTTAAAATTGTCTTCAGGGCACATACCAAATTATTCTCAGTATTCTAGATGAGTCTTTATCCTGTGGAGGTGGATTTGATTTTTGAAACTGGGGTCACTCAGGACAACTGTGATGAGAAAGGTGGGTGATAAAGCTGAGCATTACCATCTCATAAAAATAATATACAGGCTTCTACCTCTGGATATTATGGACCATTCTGGGTATTTTGACCATTCTTGCAGAAAATAACTCTAAAACCTGGACATCATATATAAAGTGACTACCGTGTTCTGAAGGTACCGAAGAGGAAATGGAAGTAGATTCTGGTGTGGTATGAGCTTGAGTAATTTTGGTTGCTCTACCTTAAAGTTTATTATTCTTTCATTTAACACATCCATTTGGTAGTTAAGTCAATCTGTTGAATTTTTTTCAGAAATTGCACTTTTCATCTCTAGATGAAGAAGTACATTATTAACTTTAAATGGGCTATGGAAAGTTAAGGATGTATTTTATAATTTATAGGTCAACCGCTGAAATAAAAATGTAAACACTGTAGCTAAAAAGCCATCAATAAAACAAAAATGGAATAATTTATAAAATATTAAAGTAATATTTTTTAAAAGGCAGGAAATGGGAAATGGAGAAGTAAATGTCAGGAGAGAAAAGTAGAAAACAAAAATATAAAATGATAGAACCACGGCGCCTGGGTGGCTCAGTGAGTTAAGCACCTGCCTTTGGCTCAAGTCACGATCCCAGGGTCCTGGGGTCAAGCCCCGAGTTGGGCTCCCTGCTCAGCCAAGAGTCTGCTTCTCCCTCTGCCTGCCACTCTCCTGCTTGTACACTCTCTCTCTCTCTTTCTCTCTCTCTGTCAAATAAATAAAATCTTTAAAATAAAATGATAGAACCGAACCCAACCATATCAGTAATTACATTAAATGTTTATAACCTAAACACTCCAATCAAAAGACTAAAATTGATGATTATTTTTAAATGGATTAAAAAGCCAAATGTAACACCTCAGTGAAAAAGATATATATAGGGGTACCTAGGTGGCTCAGTCGATTGAGCATCTGCCCTCGGCTCAGGTCATGATCCCAGGGTCCTGGGATCGAGCCCCACATTGGGCTCCCTGCTCAGTGGGGAGTCTGCTTCTCCCTCTCCCTCTCTCTCTGTGTCAAATAAATAAATAAAATCATGTATATATATATGGCAAATAAACATATGAAAGATGTGCCACATCATGTGTCATCAGGAGTCTACAAATTAAAACAAAGGGATACGACTGCACACCTATTACAATGGCAAAGATTCAGAACACTAGTGACACTAAATACTGGTGAGGATGTGGATAACAGGAACTCTCATCCATTGCTGGTAGGAGTGCAAAATGGTACAGCCCCTTTGGAAGATAGTTTGGTGGTTTCTTACAAATAAACCATATGATCCAGCAATTACATTCCTTGGTATTTGCCCAAATTAGTTAAAAACTTTTGTACAAACAAAAATCTTCACATGATGTTTAAAGCAGCTTTATTCATAATTGCCAAAAATTCCCAAAATAACCAAGATGTCCTTTAGTAGGGGAATGGATAAACTGTGGTACATCCAGACAAGGAATATTATTCAGGGCTGAAAAGAATTGAGTTATCAAGCCACCAAAAAGACATGGAAGAAACTTAAATGCATATTACTAAATGAGACAAGCCAGTCTGAAAGGCTACATACTGTTTGATTCTATTATGACATTCTGGAGAAGGCAAAACTACAAAAACAGTAAAAAGATCTGATTGCCAGGGAATGGGGTGGGGGAGGATGAATAGGCAGAACACAGCAGGTTTTTAGAGGATTGACACTATTCTGTATGATACTACAGTGGTGGATACATGTTATTATATGTTTGTTAAAACTCATAGAATGTACAATCCCAAGTGTGAATCCTAATGTAAACTATGGGCTTCGGGTGGCGATGATGTCAGTGTTGGTTGTAACATATGTACCACTCTGGTGTGCGGTGTTGACACTGGGGACGGTGTGTGCGTTTGGGGGCAGGGGTACATGGGAACTCTCTATACTTTCTGCTCAGTATAACTGTGGACTGAAAACTGCTCTAAAAATTAATGTCTACTTAAAAAAACACATAGACATACTTTAAATATAAAGACAGAGATAGATCAAAAATAGATGGATAAAAAATGATATATCATGTAAAGAGTAAGCACAAGAAGGCTGGAGTGGCTATATTAGTAACAAACAAAATAGATTTCTAAACAAAATGTGTTACCAAAGATAAAGAAGGGCACTTCAGAATAATGAAAATTTTAGTTAGTCAAGGTGGCATGAAAATCGCAAATTTGCCAGCGCTCAATAACAGCTTCAAAATATATGAAGCAAAAATTGACAGAATTAAAGGAAGAAATATGTAATCAAAACTGGAGATTATAATGTCTCCCAAAAATTGATAGAGTAAACAAACAAAAATCAGCAAAGATAGAAAATGTTAACAATATTATCAACCACCTTGACCTAATTGATATTTATAGAACACTTCACCCAAGAACAGTAAAATGCACATTCTTTTCAAGTGTATATAATATGTTTACCAGGATAGACCATATTTTTTTTTTTAAGATTTTATTTATTTATTTGACAGAGAGAGAGAGTGAGAGAGAGCACACACAAGCAGGGAGAGGGCCAAAGGGAGAGGGAGAAGCAGGCTCCCTGCCGAGCAGGGAGCCCGATGCAGGGCTCGATCCCAGGATCCTGGGATCATGACCTAAACCGAAGGCAGACGCCCAACCAACTGAGCCACCCAGGCGCCTTTAGACCATATTCTAGACCATAAATAAGTCTCAGTAAATTTTAAATTTGTTCTCTGACCATAATTAAATTAAATTAGAAACTAAGAACAGTGAGATAACTAGGAAAATGATAAATATTTGGAAACTAAACACTTTAAATATTCAATAGGTTGAAGAAGAAATTACAAGAGATTAGCAAATATTTTGTACTGAATGATAATAAAAATATAACGTATCAAAATTTGTGGGCTATGCTAGAGGGAAATAAGTTATAGCTTTGAATGCCTATAAGATAAAAGAAGAAAGCTCTCAAATCAATTTTCCACTTTTCCACCTAAGTTTCCACCTTTAAAAACTAGAAAAAGAAGCAAATTAAACCCAAAGCAATCAGAAGGAAGGAAATAATAAAGATAAGACAGAAATCAATGAAATAGAGAACAGGAAAAAAAAGGAAAATTAATAAAACCAAAAGCTGGTCATTTGAAAAAACTAATAAAATTGATAAATCTCCTTTCCGTGCCGATAGCGCTCCCGCAAACATGGTGAACGTTCCTAAAACCCGCCGGACTTTCTGCAAGAAGTGTGGCAAGCACCAGCCCCACAAAGTGACACAGTACAAGAAGGGCAAAGATTCTCTTTATGCCCAAGGAAAGCGGCGTTATGACAGGAAGCAGAGTGGCTATGGTGGGCAGACTAAGCCGATTTTCTGGAAAAAGGCTAAAACTACAAAGAAGATTGTGCTGAGGCTTGAATGTGTTGAGCCCAATTGCAGATCTAAGAGAATGCTGGCTACTAAGAGATGCAAGCATTTTGAACTGGGAGG